GACTGAGACCTCCCCAGAACATAACTATCTCTCCTCTTCCTGCAACTCAATGGAGATACCACTTACTGGGCCCCTCTGAAACATGGCCAGCTATCTTATTGCAGTTTCTTGTTGGAAATAATGTCGACTTCCTTGTACATGGTTTTGCTGGAGTCCAGCTCCTGCCAGGCTCAGGGTACCCCAAAGGTGGAGATGGTGTAGGCGTTTGGGGGCAAGAAGAAAGAGGGAGGGGGAGAGAGAAAGAGAGGCTGGACCCTCTGCACTTCTGTCTAGTGCAGAAGCCATTTATTGGGAATAACAACAGGTCTTTTATCCCCAAATTTTGCACAGCCTCACATGTCTTTCACGTGAACACAAAGCCAGGAGTGAGGAGTGTCCCCCACCCACCATATGTTCTTTCAGGTATGAGGAATCCCATAACAGATGTTAACCTTAATCCATGACTGCCTTTTCATCCTAAGCTAATTTATACTAATACCAAGTTAAAAGATAACCTAAAAATCCCATAACTAATGCTAACCTTAATCATGACTGACCTATTCTATAAACCTTTTTCATCCTATACTGATTTATACTAACACCAGGTTAAACGATTACAACCTAAAGCGGCCCATCCCAGAATGTTTGGAATGTAGCCCAGTCCAAAGTTCACAGTGGGCTAGCTGCAAGTAACCTAGCCGCATTCTTTCAACAAAATGGCTGTCTAAACTTATATTTCTAAAACTTCACCTTACTCAACTTCAATAAATCCTAAAATCACGACCCAAAAGCCTGTGACCAAAACTAAGGCTCTTAGATGTGACCCAAGTTTGAACTGTAAGTTGTGTGAAAACTAAAACTAGTTTGTGGAAGAATGGGAACAATGAGCTTCTAAAGTTAGCTTGTGTTTGTCCTGGTCTCAGAGTTTTTATGTTTTGAGCTTAGAGGAGCTTATTCTGATTATAGTGCTAAGCAGAAAGGGGGAGGAAATGGGATCAATAGCTCCCAAACGCAACCTAGTGGTCTCAGGGTCAATGGCCCTTCCTGATCCCTAATGCTCAGCGGGCCTCCATGGCTGGCTCCCAACATGATTTCATGTGGAAATCATTGCCCAGGCACGTGTAGTACTTCTCAATGATTCAGGCTGCCTTATTCACAGTTTTGTTTCCAATGGGGGCCCTGCCTTTGCAAGGACAGAGTCCCTCACCAGCACAAGCTCCCAGGAAGAGTGCAGAGGCAAGCACAAGCAAGCATGGGCCAGCCTGAGCTGGATAGGAAGACAGCACTGGGCATAGCAGCACGTGGGATTCAATGCAGACTCTGCAGTCAGCTGCACTCCAGCCTCTCAGGATTTCCAGCCCACTGGCCCAGGGCATTCCCTCACAGGCTAGGGGCCACTAAAGTGATGGATGAAGGACAACTGAGGAGGAGAGTAGCCTGGTGCCAAAACCACAAGTGTCTTGAATTTGATGATGTTTATATTGAGCAGTTTATTTTTTATCCCACATTTCCACGAACTTTTGGAAGTCCATATGTTAAAAAAACTTTTACATCTCAACAACAAAAAACAAATAACACAATATGTATTATGGATGTATTAATTAGCTATATTTAACTATTCCTCCCTCTCTCTATATATACTTATATATATATATTATATATGTATATATATTTTTTCCCCCTGGAATCTCACTCTGTTGCCCAGGCTGGAGTGCAGTGGCATGCTCATGACTACCACAGCCTGGACCTGCTGGGTTCAAGCGATTCTTCTGCCTCAGCCTTCCAAGTAACTGGAACTACAAGTGCACACTACACTCAGCTAAATTTTTTTAACTTATTCTGAAACAAAGTCTTGCCAAATTGCACAGGCTGGTCGTGAACCCCTGGACTCAGGCAATCTTCTCACCTCCACCTCCCAAAGTGCTGGGATTACAGAAAGGAGCCACCATACTCAGCCCCAAAGTATTATTATTATATATATATATATATACTTCATTATTTACATATACAGAGGGTGGCACAAAAAAAGTGTGTACACATTTTAAGAAAGGAAAAAACTGTATTAAAATTGTAGATAAATACAAGTCACGTTTGACCTCTGCGTTTATAAGAAGTGTTCAAAGTGGTTGCCATCAATATACAGACACTTCTAAGAATGGCAAACTAAAGTAATACATAGATAACATCTCTTTAAAAGTGTATACATTTTTGGTCACCCCCAGTATATATGTGGTACAGGGGGGAGCCCATAAAAACCCTGGATTTTATTTAAAATTGTGTATTTATTCTTACACGTTTAAACAGAAAGTACTGTTTGATGCACTACAGCTATCAAGATGCTTTTTCCACTGCTCAAGTTTTTTAACTTGTCAGTTTTGATGCCTCTTGGTGCTTCTTTTTGTTTCACCTCTTCCACATCAGCAAAACATTTCCCTTTGAGAGCTCTATTTACTCGAGGAACCAAAAAAAATGTTGCTCATGATGAGATCAGGTCAACAGAGTGGAGCATAGGAGTCATGCAGCTTTTGGTCAAAAACTACTGAACACAGTGCAGTATGGGCAGGTGCACTGTCATGGTGGAAGAACCAGTCACTGTTTGCCACATCTCAGGATGTTTCTTCCGTAAACCATGAGGCAAACGTCTCAAAACTTTCAGATAAAAACCTTGGTTAACCATTTGACCCAGAGGAACAAATTTCAAGTGTATTGCAAGGGATCTACCCTCCAAAAAAGATAATTCTGGCTTTGGGGGGGAGTCCCACATACTTTATACATACATACTTCAAAACAGCACTTTGTACACAATAAAAGCATACATTATCTGTCAACTTAAAACAATTTTAATGAACCAAAAAATATTTTTCCCCAAAGAACATATACAAATAGCTGACAAGCAGATGAAAAAATGTTCAACATTAATAATCCTTAGAGAAATGTAAATTAAGACATAATAAATAACCACTATTTGTTATTTAAAAAGTGTGGGGAAGGATTTGAGAAACTGAAACTCTCACACTGTGATGGGAATGTAAAATGGTACGGCTGTCAGCCTGGGTAACATACAGAAACCCCATTTCCACAAAAGAAAGAAAGAAAGAAAGAAAGAAACATTAGCTGGGTGTAATGGTATGTACCGGTAGTCCCAGTTACTCAGGGAGCTGAGCCCAGGAGTTCAAGGCTATAGTGAGCCATGATTGCACCAACTGAGTGACAGAGACTCAGCCTGGGTGACAGAGACTCAGACTCAAAAATAAAAATGGTGCAGTTGCTATGGAAAATAGTTTTTCAAAATGTAAAATAGAACTAACATACAGCACCAATTCCACTTCTGGGTATATACCCAAAAATAATTTGAAGCATAGCCTAAAAGAGATATTTGTACATTTATATTAATAGCAGCATTTAGCAGTAGGAAAAATGGAAGCAACACAAATGTTCTGATTAATACAGAAAAAGTGGCATATGCATAATTATGTCGCATAAAGTTTCAGGAAACAATGGACCATGTGTGTGACAGTGGTCCCATAATGAAGCTGAATATTTCTTATCATAGCTGTGGTATCACAATGCATTAATCATGTGTTTGTAGTAATGCTGGTATAAACAAACATATTGTGCCACAAGCCATATAAAAGTATAGTACATACAATAACATACAGTACACGACACTTTATGATAATAAAGCACAATATTACTGTTTTATGTTATTATATTACACTTTTAATCACTAGGGTGTACTTTTTCTTCTATGGACACACACACACACACACACACACACATACAAGTTAACTGGAAAACGGTCTCAGGCAGGTTCTTCAGGAGGTATTACAAAAGCATCATTTTAGGAGAAGACAAATCCATGTGTGTTGTTGCCCTTGAAAACCTTTTAGTGGAACAAGATAAGGAGGTGGAAGACAGTGACTGTATGTAGGAAGAGACCAATGTGTTTGGTTGTGTCTTAGATCTAAACAACAGAAAAGTTTAAGTTAGAAAAAAGCCTATAAAATAAGGTTAAAAAAATATTTCTTGTACAGCTGTACAATGTGTTTTAGGCTAAATGTTACTACAAAACAGTCAAAACGTTTTTTAAAAGATTAAAAGTAAGTTACAGTAAGCTAAGGTTAATATACTATTTAACAAAAATTTTTTTTTATAAATCTAGTGTTGCCTAACTGTACAGTGTTTATAAAGAGTATAGTAGTATACCACAACATCCTAGGCCTTCACATTCACTTACCAATCACTGACTCAACTCCCTGCCCTGCAGGTCTTATTCATGGTAGGTGGTCTATACTGGTGTTACTTTTTATCTTTTATACTGTATTTTTACTGTACCATTCCTGTGTTTAGATATATTTAAATACAATTACCATGTGTCCTGCATACAATACTGTAATATAATGCACAAGTTTGTAGCCTAGGAACCATAGCTGTAACATATAACCTAGGTGTTCCCAAAACTACAAAATCACCTAACACCACATTTCTCAGAACATATCCCATTGTTAAGCAACACATGACTGTGATAGAGTTTTATTAAGCTTTAGAAAAAGGATGGAAATTCTAATTCATGGTACAACATGGATGAAACTTGAAGTAAGCTACAAATTAACTCATAGAAAGACCAAAGCTTAAGTTTTCTATTATGAAATACCTGGAGTAGTAAAATTTAGAGAGTAGCAGTTGTTAGGGGCTAGGTGGAGTAGGGAATGAGTTGTTTAAAGGGTTGAGTTTTAATTTTGTTTTGTTTGTTTGAGTTGGAGTTTCACTCCGTCACCCAGACTGGAGTGCAGCGGCCACCGCAGCCTCGACCCACTGGGCTCCGGCGAGCCTTCCACCTCAGCCTTCTGAGTAGCTGGAATTATAGGCATGCGCTACCACGTCTGGCTGATTTTTGATTTATTATAGAGATGAGGTCTCACCAAGTTGCCCAGGAGGGTCTCGAACCCGCAGGCTGAGGCAATCCACTCACCTCAGCCTCCCAAAGGCGCGGGATTACAGACTGAGCCACCGAGCCTGGCAGAGTTTTAACTTTGAGTTGAAAACTTCTAAATATTTATTGCATAACAGTATGAATGATATAACACTACCGTACATTTAAATACAGTTGTTAGATTTTATATTATCTGTATTTTACAAATTTTTAAAAAATGTTGAGTTCCAGTGCAAAATCAGAACAGATTTCTATGTGAAGACTTTCAACATTTGTTTTACATATAGGTTATCTGGTGTGAACTTTCTGGTGTTGAATGAGGTGAGAGTTTTGATTAAAGACTCTCCCACATTCACTGCATTCATAAGGCTTTTCTCCAGTGTGAATCCTCCGATGTTTAATGAGGCTGGAGTTGTATCTAAAGACTTTCTCACATTCACTGCACTTATAGGGCCTTTCTCCGGTATGAACTCTCTGATGACTAGTAAGTGTGGAGCTGTCCATGAAAAATTTCCCACACTGGGTGCATTTGTAAGTTCTCTCCCTAGTGTGAACTTTTTGGTGCCGGATAAGGTGGGAATTTTGGCTAAAGACTCTCCCACATTGAGTGCACTCAAATGATCTTTCTCCAAAGTGATTTCTCTGATGTCTAATATGATTTGAGTTGTGCCGGAAGAATTTCCCACATTCACTACACTTATAAGGCCTTTCACCAGTGTGAACTCTCTGATGTGTGTCAAGTGTGGAGCGATACCTAAAGAATTTTCCACATATACTGCATTCAAAAGGCCTTTCTCCAGTGTGAACTCTCTGATGACTACTGAGTGTAGAGCTGTCCATAAAAAATTTCCCACATTCACTGCACTCATAAGGTTTATCTCCAGAGTGAACTCTCTGATGCCTATTCAATGTGAAGCAATACCTAAAGAATTTCCCACATTCACTGCATTCATAAGGCTTTTCTCCAGTGTGAACTCTCTGATGAATAATGAGTGTGGAACTGTCCATAAAGAATTTTCCACATTCACTACATTCATAAGGCCTTTCTCCAGTGTGAACTTTCTGATGTCTAATCAATGTGGAACGGTATCTAAAGAATTTCCCACATCCATTGCATTCGTAAGGCTTTTCTCCGGTGTGAACTCTCTGGTGAATAATGAGTGTGGAGCTGTCCATAAAAAACTTTCCACATTCACAGCAATAATAAGGTCTTTCTCCAGTGTGAACTTTCTGATGTCTAATGAGTGTAGAACTATACATAAAACATTTCCCACATTCACTACATTCATAAGGTCGTTCTCCAGTATGGATTTTCCGGTGACCAACAAGGTGAGCCTGTGTAAGGAAAGCCTTCCCACACTGGCTGCACTCATAGGGCCTTGGTCTCCTGTCAATTCTCTTATGTTGAACAAGGTCAGATCTTTTGGAAAAGAAACCTTCAGTGTGGATTTTCTGGTGCTGGACCAGGTGAGATTTTCTAATGAAGGCTTTCCCGCATTCACTACACTCATAGGGTCTTTCTCCAGTGTGTATTTTCTGGTGCTGAACAACATTATATTTGAGACTGAAGGCTTTTCCACATTCACTACACTTAAAAGGCCTTTCTCCAGTGTGATTCCGCTGATGTTTAATAAGGTTGGAGTTGTATCTAAACAATTTCCCACATTCACTGCACTGGAAAGACTTTTCTCCAGCATGGATTTTTTGGTGTTCAAAAAGCATATGTTGGTGGCAAAAGTCTTTCCCACACTGGCTGCAACTAAAATCATTTTGTCCATATTGAAAGTCTTCTGTGCCCTGGGTGTTCCTGTGTGGTTTCCATGCACAGCGAAGGGCCTCTTGCTGCAGAAGGTCAGAATTGGCAGTAAAATCCTTGCTACCCTCCGTGCATGAAAAGTTTCTCTCTGCCAAATGAACACTGTTAAAAAATGAAGGCCTCGCCTCACCACCTCTGGAGAGTTTCTCTATAATCTGCTCCTTTTGGTGCAGGTAAAGTTCTACTGCATATGTGTACAGGCCCTGCTCAGGTTGTGTTCCATCAGGTTCAGTCACGTGCAGAATGTTCTTCAGAAGCGAGCTACATGTCTCACAGGGCTGGGACTTCTGGGTAGACAAACCTGGCTTTGGAGCCGTGACCTGTGACACTCCTACAGAAACAGCTTGCTCTAAAGGTGACTCCTCATCATCCTCAGCTCCATGGCAGCAACCTGTAAGAAGAGAAATACTGGTGAAGTTCACGTTGACTCTGGTGAGAAGAGGCAGCCTGAGACACACACACAAATAAGGGTATGAGATTGGTAACAGGCGTTGAATTAAGGCCAGTGAGTAAAAGGCCTCCTATGATGAGTTGGACCTGGCAAACACTCAAAAGGAGAGCCTTACGATGTTAAGGACAGAAGGGAAAAGTACAGTGCAGGAAGGAGAGGCAGGATCTCCTACTTACTCCCCTACAAATGGATTTCACCAGGCCATGGCTACTGCTAACTGGTGAGCAGTGTGTAGAAGGTGCACCCAGTCCTAGGAAGATCTGACTGTAACAGAAGAGTTGGTATTATGACTTTACATGTTTATGACACCTCAGGTACAGGTCATACATTGAAGGGCACTGCAAAAAGAGCAGTGGAAGGGAATGGATGAGAAGTAAAGACCAGAGAGGTGGGTCAGAGGTGACAGTCAGGGTTGGAAGTCACAGGAGGAATGACAATAAGAAAGAAAAAAGAGAAATGAGGTGTGGCCACTGACAGAAGCACCAACCTAAACAGATTCCCAATGTGATTTGAACCCAGACCTGATGTCACACCCTTTCTCAGGTCCCAACCACCATGTGCTTTTAAGCATCTCTTCCCATCAGTGGAGTAATATCACCCTGTGAGGTACCCAGGGCTCTCCCACTTCCTCAAGGTATGCAACTCTCTCGGCCTGACATAGACCACCTTAGGGAAAAGACAGAAAAAGGGAGTAGTCAGGGCTGAGCATGGTGGCTCACACCTGTAATGCCAGCACTTTGGGAGGCCAAAGAGAGAGGAATGCTTGAGTCGAGGAGTTCAAAAACACCCTAGGCAACATAGCGAGACCTTGTCTCAACAGAAAAATTAAAAAGCCAGGCACTGTATTTCAGCCTAGGCAACAGAGACCCTGACTAAAAAAAAAAAAAAAAAAAAAAAAAGAAAAAAAAAAAGAAAAAGGAGTGGTCAGCATGTCAGTATGTGCCCAGAGAGATAAACCAGGCACCCAGGGCACCCTGCATTCTAAAATTACCAGAACTTCTAATGGAGAGTCCTGCAGAAATATCTCCATGGTCCTCACAAGTAGTGACCAAGTAGGTGCCTCTAATTCCTGGCACAGGGAGTCTCCAAGAATACCAATAAGAGAAAGGGGAAAAGTCCTGGCACAGAGGTTTAATGCACTTGGATAGCATAACCTGACAAAGGACAACAAGGCCACTGGGATATCTTAGAGAAACCTCAGGATTTCTGACTTCTGAGCCTAACCTTGCTAGGCTTCAGAGTGACAGGAGCTGGGTCTCTGGAGGAGAGGTGATAGAGTGCAAAAGCCCAGCCCTGGCTCTTGCAACATACATACCAGGAAACCAGGAGAGGACGTCACATGCATGATCAGGTGTGAGAAAGACAAAGTTGTTGTGGAAAACAGCACACAGGACACAGGGGAAGGTATGAGGGCTTTACCTACTGACGACAAAAGTGCAAAGTTCTCCAGCATTACATCGCTGTACAGGCATCTTTGAGCCTTATCAAGGAGACGCCATTCCTCCTGGGAGAAATATATGGTCACATCCTCAAAGACCACACGACCCTGCCAAAATTATTACAGTTCAGTCCACAAGCAGCTTCTTGCTATGTATCCTTAGATCTGTATTTATCTATTTGGCATCTACTAATTACAGGGCCAGATGAACAGGCAAATGTTTTCCCCTTCCTTTTGCAATCCAGATCCCATCGTTTGAACTGCCTCTATCTAACGCTCACTAAAGACTATTTCTCCTGCCTTAAATCAACACAAAGACCTGCTACAACATGATACATGACAGTACCCGTGCCCCAAGGCTGCCAGACTTATTCAAACTAATCTTAAGCTGTTCATCCTGCCAGACGTTGCCTTTCCTGTCAAAACCCCAATAAAACCTCTTGTGCGATTTTTCCTCAATTGGGCATCACCCTCTGACCAAATCTACTATTTCTTCTGTGGCCTTGTGCAGCATGCTATGCCCCCTCCACCCAGGAAACGTAAATAATAAAAAAATCTTTCAATGTTGTTGGGCTCTCTAGTGTCACTCACTCATGTCCACAGATTAAAATCCTGTGGGTACAGTCACTGGTACACTTCCTTTCCAGGGCTCAGTGCTTCCCTCCCCATCAACTCATCCATTCCTTACTCAGCCTGGTGGCAATGTTGTAAGCTCTCTTTGGTATGCCACACAAAGTCCAGCATAGAACAAAGATAGGTGGAGAGAGAGATAGAAAAGCACCATCAAAGCCTGGCACATGGGGCCCTACCAATCTTTTATCAACCAGTTTCTCTGGGGTCTCCGACATCCTGCCTCCCAGACAAACAACCTAGGATTCAGCCTTCTTCCTTATGTGCCCAGTGCCAGGGCTGGGACCATCTGTTCCTACTCCTCCTCATCTTCACACCACACTATGAATGGCACTTCCCTCATGTGTCTGGCCTCTCCACTACTGAGACACTAACAACCATGCCCACATGCTGCTGTGCATATGAAGTCCTGCTGTGCATGACAAATGCAACCAAGATGTTATTTGCCCCTGGGCTGCCCAGGATACAACATTCCCTAGTGCCTGGGGCAACATCCAGTCCTGCTGTGAAGGTCCTCCTACCCGAAGGTCCTCCTACCCAGTCCTATTTCTTGCTTTCATTTCAGCCCCCCCAAACTCACATGACAACCCTACTGTTCTCATATTCCTCCTCTGAGTTTCAGATCTTGGCTTTCTCCCCATTCTGCATCGTATATGTTGTCCCATCAGCAGTCACAACCTTGTCTACCCCAACCCGAATCCAAAGCCCAGTTACACTGACCTCCCCACCCCAGCAATGTTCCTTGCTGATCCCATCTTAACTCAAGGTAGTCTAACAGTTTAAACAAAACTATCCAGTTTCACCAAGAATCACCACAAATACCTAGTGAGTTCATAACAAGATAATAACTAGAGTGGGTGAAAGTCCGAGACATCCTCCACTTACCTGCACAAGGTCCGTATGCATTGCTGCCACCGCCACAGGACCCTGTGGGTAGAGATAGGCCATAAGACCTGGGCCAACACTGCAGGATCCTACAGGCTGAGCTGTATAACTACTTCTGCTCTGCACTGCAGTCAAGTCCTCTGAGGCTAAGTTAAGCCCCTCGGAGTTCACTGCTGCCTCTTAGCAGCTCTGTCTGACCCTCCCTAAACCTCAATGCCCTTATCTGTAAAGTGGGGATAAAAAAGGTTCCCGATCTCATAAGGTTCATATTGGCATCAAACATAAGTAGTACACACTAGGTATCAGCAATTCCTACAAGATAAGCTATTTTGCATATGTTTTCAGCACAATTAAAGAAGGGTTTTGAAAATGTGTGTATTTTTCCCACTTCCTAAGGTGTTAAAGAAATGTCATAAATAAAACTTTCCAATGTAAGCAAAGAGTTAAATTACCTTTCCAACAATTATGTGCTTGAGTGAATTTAACTATTGAGTTTATTCACTTCTAATTGTCTACCAATGTGTATATATGAGGGGGACCCCCCTAAAACCTGGATTTACTAAAAATTTTGTATTTATTCTTACATGTTTAAACTTCAGTTGCCTTCAAAGTGTTCTTTGTCTGATGCAATACACCTTTTGAGATGCTTTTTCCATTGCTCAAAACAGTTTCAGAACTGATCAATTTTGATGCCTTCTAGTGCTTCTGCCTTCACCTCTTCCAAATCAGCAAAAACGTTTCCTTTTGAGGGCTTTTTTTATCCAAAAAAACAAAAAAAAAGTTGATCACAGAGAGATCTGGGAAATAAGGAGAATAGGACATGGAGGTTGTGTTGCTTTTGGTCAAAAACTGCTGAACACTTAGCACTCAGTGCAGTGTAGGGTGGAGTGTCCGTAAATCACTCATCGTGAAATGGGCAAACATACTGAAAAAATCTCCAAAAAACTTCACTGAAGCCAAATGCAGCCTCTCACAACGTCTACTGGTATGCTGACGTCAATGGGTTCCTAGAACACTTACCTAGTGGGGGGAAGCCTGTACTACCAGAGGTCCGCCCCCTGTAAAAAATTCCTGTTTGTGGGGAGTCCCCCTTGTATTTAGAAAAATATTGACTCACTGGTGTTTAAATCACTTTTTCCTTTTTTTAAAGAAAGCAGGATTTATTTAGAGGTCAGAAAAGCACCCAGAGTGGGAGGGAATCCAAGGGGTTGCCCTAAATCACCTAAGTGTTTTACACATCTGTAAGTGAACGAGTTGAAGCAGGCACTAAGCAGGACATCAGTTGCTGGTCTCTTCAGCAACCAGGCCAACCTGCAACACAATGCTCTGAAGGGAGCTTGCTAGGAACCCTTCACTGGGGTGAAGAAGGCGAGAAAGCCATGCCCAGGTCTGGCCCCGGTTGCTTCACTAGACTGCCAGACCTTTCCCTTGTTGCACAGAGAGTGAACCTAAGGTTCTGCTGAGGGTTTGTAGGTGCAGAATCTAAACTACCTCAAACCTCAGTCTTTACCCTAGGCTATTGCCTTACCTCATCCAGGCCTCAACTTTTGTTTGCACCCTTCTAGAAGGGTCAAGTCTCAATGTGTCCACAGGACTTTTCCTCGAATCCACACCTTCTAACCCGCTGAAAGCTCCATATCAGTTACCTTCCCTGACCTCTGGAACTCATGTCCACCTACCCACATGATGACTCCATCTTGTGGCATCTCCCAATCACCATGTCCAAAATGCAACCTGTAATATTCTCTCTGAAACACACTCCTTAAACTTCAGAATTTCAGGCAAAACAGCAAGGGACGACGCTCACCACCTTCCTTGCCATTGCCTCACAGCAGCGGGAAATCCCGTCGACCCCATCTTTGAAATCTCCCAGAAACTCATCACAGTGCCCCTCTACTGGCCACCTCTGGCGCAGCCCCGGCCGTTTGGGTCGCCCAGGGTCTGCTGCAAAGGTCTCCTCGCCGGTCCGCCCGTCTCTGCTCAACGTCCTGTTTTTCCCCAACTCGACACTTTTAACTTCAGAGTTAACAACACCCTCCCCGCACACACCTCCACGGCGTCTGGCTCCTCCGCGGTCACGCCAGGCGAGACCCTACCTCGCCCCCTGCTCCCTGGAGACCAGGACACACCCCCACCGAGCGGCCCACTCAGTAGCCACGTGCAGGTCCCTGGCGGGGACTCTCTCCCACGGCTCCTCTCACGGACTGAGCGGGGACGCCTCACGAGGACACCCGTGTCTTCCAGGCCCCGCCGTACCCCGAGCAGGCGCCCCCTACCCACCTGAGTCGCGCTCATCGGCGCGGCGCCCCCGACCCGCCAGGGACGGGGAGCCGAGAGCGGCGGGGGGCCTGGAGCGGGCCGGGGCCGCTCAGTCCAGCCACACTCTCGGTCCTGGGTAGGGTGGTCGCTTCTCCCCGTGTTTTCCCGCTCTGGCCCCTCGGCCCCAACCTGCGCGGCCGGACCGCTAACACCGCGAACGGCTCCAGACGCAGCCGCAGGGCACAACGTGAGGACGCTGCCGGAAGTCCCGCCCACACACGTGCGAACGTTCGGAAACGCCTCTTTTCTAGGCTATCATTGGCTACTCGCTGCTCCCGCGCGCACCGCGGCGTCTTCTGGATAATGTAGTTCCTACTCGTCTCCGTGCCTCGTTTCTGACTTTTATTTTATATTTTATTTTTTTGAGTTGGAGTCTCCCTCTGTCAACCAGGCTGGAGGACAGTGGTAGGAACACAGCTCACCACAGACTCAACCTACTGGGCTCAGGCGATCCTTCCACTTCAGCCTTCCAAGTAGCTGGAGCTACAGGCACACACCACCATGTCCCGCTAATTTTTTTTTCCTTGATTTATGGTAGAGATGAGGTCTCGCCAAGTTGCCCAGGCTGATCTCGAAGCCGCGAGCTCAGGCACTCCTCTCGCCTCAGTCTCCCAAAGCGCTGGGATTATAGGCGTGACCCACTGCGCCTGGTGGGAAAAGCAAATTCTAAAAGCTGTGTCTTGGTAGTGTGGTGTCTTGGCACATATAAAGGAAACCCCATCATAACAACTTCTTTCAGAACAGAGAAAAATGAGATATTCAAAACGCTGAAAGAAAAGAAAAAAGAAGCCAACCAATAATTTTACATCCAGCAAGATTAACCTTCATACATGAAGGACAAATCATCTTTTCCAGAACAAATGCTGGGGGAAAAAATTGTCACTACCAGACTGGCCCTACAAGAAATGCTCAAGGGAGTCTTCAATTGGAAAGAAGCAGATGATATGTACCATCATGAAACTGAACAAAAGAGCAAAAATTCACTGATAAAGCAATCATCCAAGGAGAAACACAAAGGAATCAAATGACACCACTACAGAATTCCACCAAACATACTGGCAAACATTAAGATAAAATTTTTTTAAGTCAAGAATTTATAAAATAACTGGAAAACAGTATGACAGGAACAAAACTTGTAATCAGCAATAATCTTAAAATGTGTAGACGGGCTGAATGGATTTTAAATGGATCCAACAATACACAGCTTACCAGACACTCACAATTACTGTAAAGACACATATAGATTGAAAGTAAAGGTGTAGCCGGGCTCGGTGGCTCAGCCTGTAATCCCGCGCCTTTGGGAGGCTGAGGTGAGTGGATTGCCTGATTCTGTGGGTTCGAGACCCGCCTGGGCAGAGAGACCTCATCTCTACAATAAATTAAAAAAATCAGCTGGGCGTGGTAGTGCATGCCTGTAATTCCGGTTACTTGGAAGGCTGAGGCGGAAGGATCGCTGGAGCCCAGCAGGTCGAGGCTGCGGTGGCCAGGAGCGGCCACTGCACTCCAGTCTGGGCGACAGAGTGAGACTCCAACTCAAAAAAAAAAAGAAAGTAAAGGTGTAAAAGATATTCCATACAAAGGGAAACCAAAATCAAGAACAGCTACACTTTTATCAGATACAAAAAAAACTTCTAGACAAAAATAATTTTTTTAAAAGAGAAAGACCAAAAAAGCCATAATATCATGATAAAGGGGTCAATTCAGCAAGAAGACATAACAATTTTAAATGTATATCCATCCAACACTGGAACACCCAGATTTATAAAAGAAATATTACTAGACCTAAAGAGAGAGATGGGCAGCAATATAATAGTGGGGGAACTTCAACACCCCATTCATAGCATTAGACAGATCATCTAGACAAAAAATCAACAACAAAAATTGGTCTTAGATGACCTCAGACCAAATCTTAGTAGACATTTACAGAATATTCTACTAAAAAACTGAAGTATATACATTCTTTTAATGAGCACATGGAACATTTTTCAAGACGGATCATATGTTAGGTTATAAAACAAGTCTCAACAAATTTTTTTAAATGAAAATAATATCAAGTATCTTCTCAGTTCACAACAGAATAAACCAAGAAATCAATACCAAAAGGAAAAATGAAAACTATACAAATACATGGAAATTAAATAACATGTTCCTCAATGACTACTGGGTCACTGAGGACATTAAGACAGAAACCTTTATCCCTGCAATGTAGGACTGGTTCAACATCTGCACGACCATAAATACATCAACAGATGTAAAAATAGAAATCACATGATGACATCATTAGACACAGAAGAAGCTTTTCATAAAATCCAGCGCCCCTTCTTGATAAAAACCCTTGACCACCTAGGCATAGAGGGAACATACCTCAAAATAGAAGGAGCCAACTACAATAAACCCACAGCCAACATCTTGCTAAATGGGCAAAAATTGGAAGCATTTTCTCTGAAAACCAGAAAAAAGACAAGGCTGCCCACTTTCACCTCTCTTGTTCAACATAGAATTGGAAGTCCTAGCTGAGGAATCAAACAAGAGAAGAAAAACAGGGGTATCCAAATAGGAAAAGAGGAAGTCAAGCTATATCCCTCTCTGCTGATGATATGATTCTATACCGCGAAAATCTAAGAGAATCTGTCAAAAACCTTCTTGCACTGATAAGGGACTTTGGCAAAGTCTCAGGGAACAAAATCAACATGCAAAAGACGATCGCACTTTTATTTTTTGAGTTGGAGTCTCACCACTCCGTC